TAACTACTTTTTTGTATACTTTAAATAAAATTTAAATAACAATAACAATAAATAACAATAACACACCTTGATTTAAACTCAACGCCCCTCGCGGCTCAAAGTGAAAATATTTGGATTTGCCGTGATTTTGTTTCTGGGTGTAATTTTAAGGACCTGAATCGAAGCTAAATCATCGCTTGTACACCTATTCTGCTCACTAATTTATAATTTCGACCCATTGTGTTGGTTTTGAGCTGACTTTTCATGGCTGACTTGTTGGACTTGGTAACTGCAGAGGCTACGGTGCGATAAATACCAGACGGATACAGTTGCCGGAGATCAGGACCAGGACTTGTGTCCCGCCATCAATAATGCTTAATTTAATTCGAGCCGTGCGCACTTACTCCCACTTTCTCCCAATTTCGCCCGGCGACTTCCGCTATCTCTTTAAGTCGAGGGCAGCGAAAGCGACTGCGTCCGGCACATGATTATTATTAGTTATGATGATGTATCCTTTTTAATGGTTCCAAAATGGGGAGTGTGAACGTGACCGGAAGAGAGGGTGGTGGGTTCGTAAGCTTGGGCCTGGCGAATATTAATAATTGTTTCTTTTTTTTTTGCTGCTCGGTTTTCGGGGGTCTGCGGAACACGCTAAAAATTAATTAAACGTTCTAGGCGAAGGGCATTAAATATATATGTATGTATGTGCGATGGGTATATATTGTACACACATATTTTTTTCATTTCTGTTTTTGCTCGGCCATTTCGTGGTTATTTATGCGCCTGGTTCGACCAAACCCACGGAACACGGACGGACTACGGACGGACAACGCCGGACCGGATCCGGGCCTACACTTGATTCATTGTTTCTGCTGCCGCTGCTGTTCGAGCCGAGTGTGAGCAGCACGCACTCATATTGCCAATTTATATTTGTATTAATTAATGGGCCAGTAAACAATTGCTGAAAGCTGCGCCATTAGTCCCGTTCCAGTCGATAGTGGGAGGTTCGATGGAGGTTGGGATCCGGCCAAATGCGGAAAATGGCTGCAATAATAAGCTCCTGCACTGGCCACATAAATTACATATTTTTTTTCATTTCACTCTGCAGGAGTTAATAACATTTTCATAACTGAATTTTGCGAATGAGACGTGGAATGTTGGTGAAGTATTTTTCTATTGTGTCAGACACCATAAATTTCACTGTCAATTACATTTTAAACTAATCGAAGTGGAGTAGATTTCAGTCGTAACCGGATGCCATTAAATTTTAGTATGACTTCTACAATTCAGCTTAAAGTTTGCTTTTAATATCAATTCAACATGAGTTTGTTGAACAAGATTTAAATGACAATAGTTTATTTTTAGGTGAAAACTGGGACTATGTACATTATATATTTATTGTTACCTACTGAGCAGAGCCTGCGTTTTTGACCTCAGTATATTTATTTTTCAGATATTGACATAAAAATATCCTTTTTGAAAATTTATGCACTTTGTATTTTTCAGAAAAGATTTTAAATGCCGTAGCAGGAGCAGAATAAATCAGTAAATGTCAATTAAATTTAAAAAATAAAGCCATTTGTGATGCCTTTTATAGTCGGGGTATAGCATTAATTTTTGTATTAAATGTGGTCTTAACTTTTCCACTTTTAAAGTAATTTGTATTTAAACCTTAGAATTTTGTCATGGATGTGAATCTAACTTATTTAAAATTTATCTAAAGCGTTTTTAAAATTCCCCTCAGTCAAATCTTGTTTGTGGCCTGTTTTAACTTCTTCAAAATCTTCACTTAAACTCTTTTGATTCAATGCGAATAAAGTTTGGTGCAATTTCGCAATAAAAGCCGATCTGAGGGCGCTAAAAATACGTGAAACAATCGCATGAAAAGCGCAGTCGAATGCCAGAGGCAGATTGTGCCATACAGTCACGGCTCCAATAAAAGTCGCCGCACTTGACTCCCGGTTGTTTGTCCACCCGAACACCCACTGCCACCCACTGCCACCCACTGCCACCCACTTAGGAAAACAAGTACGGCAGCTGCACATTTACAATTCGATGGCGGAGTGTGTGGCCCCCAGTTTTCGGTCATGATAAAAATGAGCGTCGGAAATGCGAAATATAAATTCAGCCATATCTGATGTACAAGTGTACGACTGTGCTGTGTGTGTGTGGCAGGATAAACATAATGGCTGCACTGCATTTGCCGGAGCCTGTGGCAGTGGCAGGATGCCCGCCAGACAGGAGCAGACCAATCATCAGAAGTATGCCAGCGGCCGGAGGAAACGGCAGCGGAAATGACATGCAATAAAACACAAAGGCGCACGCATCGAGTGAAAGCTGGGAAAGCAGGACAGGCGGGGAAAGGCGGGGAAAGCAGGGAAAGCAGTGAAAGCTCGTCCTTTGTCTGTTGCCTGTCGCTGGATTATAGCGAAAAATGGCATCTAACAACAAAAATCTATCTTGCAAATGCATTTGCCCCGCCCTTTCCTCCGGAGCAGTCCGGAGAAACTTTGCGAAATTACAATTGCAAAAGTTGCGTGCCCCGAGAGTCCTGGCTATTCGCCTGGTGTCCAGCAGCAAGCAGCCAGCAGCCCAACCCCGATTTGAGGTATTTCCCGTACGTCTGTGCGTTAACGCCAAAGTCATTTGGCTTATCAATGCCAGACGCAGACAATTTCGGTCGCTTATCGCCGGTCGCATCGCTGTCCCGCAGCATGCAGCATGCAGGTGGAGATGGCGTCCCAGGATCCAGTATCCAGGATGCAGGAGGGTGGAGCGTTGAGCGTGGGGCGGGGAACCCCGGGATGGGCGTTATTAAGTGGCCATTAGCCGGGCCAGGCGACAAACTGGTCAAGGTGGGGGGCGTTTCCACAAATTACACAGCTGCCAATGATTTTGTCGACTATCAGTCGCACACAGAGAAAAGTTCACTTTATTGATGGCATCTAAATCTATGCAAGCTATCCTAGTGGTGAGTTTACATATATTAAGTAGACACATTTTATTATAAATCACTAAAGTTAAAGGTGGCTTTGCTTCGTTGAAAAATTCACTGTTATTACAGATAAAACACCATTATATATAAACAATGAAACACAAAGTAAATTAAACTTCGTGTAATGAAAAATACCTGGAAAAGTATCTGGTTATGGAAAGTTAGCGGCTGTAGTCAGTAAAATCCATATAAAATCGGTTTACAGGCGGATTTTCGAAGTTAATAGCTTGCTCGATTCGTAAATGTTCCATCTTCAAGATAAAGTGATTCAATTATTTTCGGTTTTCATGCGTGTAGTATTAAAGAACTATTTATGTTATCGGATCTCTAGTTTTAGCTTTTTATTCAAATTTTGTCCAGCTCTAGCATCTTTATAAGGAAATCTATCCCTTTAGCATGTAAGGGAAATTTGATGAACGTTATATTTGACCGAAACCGGTTAAGCAGAACTGGAGATTAAAAATGGCGTGAAAACGGGTGAAAAACGGGACACTTACACTTTTAAAAAAATGGTACCATAGAAAACATTTTTTATGCCATTTGCTAAATCAGGGAGTCCATCAAGGTTTGATCTCTGGAGGATTTCGTCGACTTAAATTGTATCCAGTGTAATAGATCAACTCTAAGTTTGTAGGATTAGCAAATATATAAACACAAATAAAAACAATGCTGATTTAGAATATATATTCCTTGCGATTTGAACCGTAAAAACTTGATTTTTCCTTTAACATACACTTTAATTTACCTGTTAGCTGTGTTTTTTAACCCTTTTACTTGCCGTGCATTAGCACTAGTGGAATGTATGCAAACACCGTTTAGCTGGCGACTGGGGCGTTGTTGATTCTAACAAAGTAAGCAGGAACAAGGGTTCCACTCGCCTCCGCGGTCCCTTCACCTCCGCCCGAGTCCCCCATCGAAGTGGCCAGCATTATTTGCTAATTACGCCCTGCAGCAGCGTTGCATGCATGTGATTGCTCTTACTTCGACTGCGCTACATGCTCCGGCCAGAGAACCTGGCTACCTATTCCACAGCTCCAGTCCCATCCCGAGGCCCGGTCTGCCATAACTTGCCATCAACTTATTAGCTGGCAGAATTCCGCAGGTCTGCCTTATTTTCGATTTTAATTTCCATGCTGCTGCCGTTGGTGGAGGGCCAGCATGCAAATGCTCGACATGCGCGTAATTTGTATTCATTATCTGATGCATAATTATACTGTAGATACGGTTATGCAAAGGGAGCCATCGAAGCCATCCACCAGGTCACCAAATAAAGTATTTTGCTACAGTACAAACTAATGCAGGAAATGACATTAAATTTAGAATGTTCAAAGGAGTTGTGGGTAACGATTTGAAATGGACGTTTTGTGGTCAAGGGAAATTATCGAGACTAACCGGTGGCCCGTTCAAAGCACCACCAATCAAAAGGCCTATGTTCTTGTCCCATGATTTGCATACATTGACTGCTGATGATAGAGGGAAACAGTTAAAGTCCAACAGTTGCAGCTTGTGAGGCCGGATGCCATAAATTTGGAATATCGAGGAATGAATTCGAGTCACAGATATTTACAAAATTACGAACTTAACATGGAATTTCGGTCTAGCTTAGTGCCCTCTGACCTTTATAGTATGCAAAACAAGATGCATTCCTAACTACATAATACTTTAAAAGATTGTAAACACTCAAAATTGTTGAAAGTTTTGTTTACTATTGACTCTGGGTGCTTAGAAATTATTATTGCCATAGATTACTGCCCCCCAAGTATGCAATATCTGTTCGCACCTGGAATTTTTAATTTGTGTTATACTTGCAATGGCAACTTAAGAAAAGTAATTGTTTAACCCTTCGGAGAAAAAACTAAAAATGTAAATAGTTTTTGGTTGAAAGTTGCATCCAATTATGAATGAAGGTTAAAAAGTTAAATTTATATAGTTAAACGTTGAACAAACTGGTTAATGCAAGCATATACACTTTGAGGGATAAAAAAGATATTAGAAAACCCTTTAAAGAAAAGCAACTAGAATCAGGTTAGGATCCACTTTCTTTGAACTCTTTATTCTCGTGAATGTCTTACAGTTTATCGCCTTAAAGTAGAGTTATTGTATAGTTTCATTAGCCCAATTGCCAGCATCTGAGTCTCGGGGACCCTTTGCTCTTCTACTTAGTGGTCTAGGTACAAACTTAGCTTATCTCGTAGGCCTAGTGATGCAATAAATATAAGTTAAATGTATAAATAGGGTAATCTGCAAATATCTTCTCTGCGCGTCTTGTAAATGTAAAAATATATGTAGGTTGAATCTTCATTAGCTTAACTAGGGATGTGTATTTGGAACAGTGTTGGCTCTTATTCTACGGTCTCTCCTCCTCGGGAGTTGCATATGTATGTTTGTGAGTGCATCCTAGCATCCTAGGCGCCTTGGAGTCAAGTTGAACTTTGCTTTGCTTTGTGGTGCGGCAGTGGCGGTGGCAGTGGCCACCGAATTGATGATCCCCGCCAGCGTTCTGGGCCACTTCGTTAGCCACGAGTTGCAGTTGCCCGTGGGGCCACATTAATAACCCCTGCATCGGCAATGGCAGCTGGACTCTGATTGGAGAGCCCCTCCAGCGGGCTGCATCACGAGATGATGCAGTTCTTGTCCTTGTCGCCGCCCATCTCGCTGGGCTTCCTCTTCCGATCGTAGGCCAGTGCGTCGTTGGGCACGTAGCTCACGCGCACGCCGCCGTAGTGGCGCCTCTGCGGCAGCTGGTACATCATCATGTAGTCCTCGGAGCTGGAGGAGCTCGACGAGCAGGTGGAGCACACGTCCGACTCCTCCGACTCCTCCCGTTCGCGTTCCCGTTCCCGTTCCCTATCCCTCTGTTGTCGGCTGGGCGACTCGTGGACCAGGCTGGCAGCCTGCAGCGCCGAGGGTGGACCTTGGTAGGAGGCGGAGAGTGGCTGGGCCGGCGCATAGGTGTCCGCCCGCGTGGTCGAGTGCGAGCGATGGCCGCTGCCACTGCGATGGTGTGTGCCAATGGAGGAGGACTTGCGACGCCTGCGCCTGCGGGAGGAGTGGCCATGTCCATGGCGACCATGGCCGCCCTCTCTGTCCTTGTCCTTGTCCCGATCCCGCTCCCGCTCTCCACCGCCCCCGCCACTCGTGCCCGCCCCGTTGCCAGAGTAACTGCGCGATCGGGGCAGCGTGTCCGGAATGCCCTCGAAGCGCACCCCCTTCTTCTTGGCCGTGCCCGGCTCCCCGCTCATGGGCGAGGAGGAGGAGGCGCCGCTCAGGATGGACACCGGGTGGGGGGCGCGTGGCCGGCCGACTGGGCGGACAGGGCCGAGTGGGTGGGCGAGCCCAGCAGCTCGGGCGGCAGGGCCGTGGAGGCCACGCTCAGGTTGGGCGTGGGCAGCTCGGGCACCTCACCCTGCGGCGGCAGCGGCGGCGGCGGCGGCGTGTGCAGGATGTCCGCGTACTCGTGCTGCTGGAATTGCTGCGAGGCGGAGACGGCATGCAGCTGCGACAGGTGCTGCGCCAGGTGGGCGGGCGGCGCCACCAGCTCCGGCATGCTGGCGGCGTGCGGATGCTCCAGCAGCTGCCGCTGCAGCTGGTAGCTGTTCGACGGCTTCGCCGGCCAGGCGGCGTCCAGGTTCGAGGCCATCTCGTTGAAGTTGTAGACCCCGTCGCGCTGCAGCTCCATGGGCTGTGGCAGGAAGTGGGGCTGGAAGTCGCCCGGCGAGTTCAGCGGTGAGAGGTTCTGCGAGGTGCTTGAGGCGCGACCGCCCGAGAAGTCGGTCAGATCGCCGCCGGGCTGCAGGTCCTTGACCACGCCCGCGTCCGAGTCCGAGGTGGCGTAGCTCTTGCTCTGCTCCGCCAGTCCGCCATCTAGTCCGCCGCCCAGTCCGCCCACCGCCTCCAGCTGCTGGCTCTGCATCTGGTACATCGCCTGGTTGAAGGTCGCCTGGTGCTGCTGCTGCTGCTGCGGCGACATGGGCGGCGAGCTGGAGGCGTGGCTGCTGGGAATGCGCGCCGGCAGGGGCGCCGGCGGGTGGGGCCGTAACCGCTGCGTGGGCGGGGTGGGCGTGGGGTACATGCCCGTGCCGGAGCTGTCCGACGGCGTGGGCGGCTCGCCCTTGCTGCAGGCGATGGAGCAGTAGATGGCCCCGCGGCGCGGCAAGAAGGCGCGGCCCAGCAGCGAGCAGCGGCACGTGTTGCACGAGAAGCACTCGTCCGTGGCGTGCCAGTGCTGCCCGTCGTGGCTCATCTGGCCCTGGTCCACCCCGATGGCCTCCCCGCAGTAGTCGCAGTACTCGGCGAACATCGCGTCGAAGCAATGCAGACAGTAGGGCTTGCCCTCGCGCATGATGTACCGCTGACCGCCCAGCTGCTTGTCGCACTCGTGGCAGGCGAAGTGGTTCATGTGCCACGCCCTGCCCTCCGCCTCCGTGCACTCGTCCGCCAGGATGATCTGCGGATGAAGAGAGCAGGTTAATATTAAAGTGCTGTTCTAAAGTGATCATCTTTTCTGTAAAGCTTTTATTTTGCATGGTATTTAAAAGTGATTTAAAAATACATTGTTTTGATTTTTGTTGATAGAGTTTTAGCGACCTGTATCTAAATAGAAACTAATATTTCTTTCAGCGAAATCTTTAGGTCAAGGGTTGGTTGAAAACTAACAAATAGTCGGAAATGCATAAGACAAATTTGTTTTGCTTTTAGGCAAATATAACAAGAACTTAACCATTTATTTAAAGTGACGCCCAAAAAAATTCTTATATCATTAACAACTAAATGTCTTTGTTGATTTGATAGGGGCGCAAATTATTATTAATTTGTTCTTGGACGATTGGGCAATAAACGATATCCGCAACCAGCATATTCTTTCCAATTAAACACATACAATTATATTCTGTTGGCAATTATAAATAGAAGACTTCGTTTGCTTTGAATCAAGAATTCAGCACTTAAAAAACGCATTGAGCAAAAATATTTAATATCTGTAGAAGTTATGTTTCAAAGAAAAATTTGTTCCAGAGGATAGATGCCTTCCCACCGTGGAAATAACTTCATCCAGACAAAAATGGACAAATTTAAATGCATGTAATTTTCTTGAAACAAGGTCATAGAATGGATTTTAAAAGTCTCAAAAATTCCCAATGTTGTCCTAATGTCTTAAATAAATACCACTAAGGACGGCAGTACATGTATTGAAGATGGTGATGGTCCGTTTATAACGAGTAATAAACCAACCGAAAGGAATCATTTGAAATTGTATTGGGATCATTTGAATAGTGTATTTATTAAGTCGAATGTTTAATCGTCTTTCATCACAAAATTTGATATCAGAAATTTTATATGTTGAAGGTGCGATCGTCACAACTTTTTTACCTCGTTAAGAGTGGTTTTGGTTTGATATAATAGAAAACCTTTGCATAATATGATTTTTAAATACTGAAAATACGATTGTTATGAACTGAAAAATTACTTTTTGGAAATGATGATGATTTTGTCCAAGAACCCATTCCCACCCCACGAGTATCAATCAAGGGGGCACTCACCTCATCACAGGCCGAGCAGCGCGGCTTAAGGGTCTCGGCGTGGTGGCGTCCGCAGTACATGCGGCCATCGCGGTGGAAGTAGATGAGGTCCACGAGGAGCTCGCGGCAAACGCAGCAGGCGAAGCACGCCGGATGCCAGCTGGCATTGGGGCCCAGTCGCGTGGCGAACACGGCGATGTCGCCCGTGGAGATTAGGTCGTCGCACTGCGAGAAACCGGGGGTCAGTCCTGGGAATTCGAATTCGAGTGGGAGTACGGAGTGGAATACTTACACCGTCGCAGGGTCGGGCGCTCATCAGCTGCCGCACGTTGCCGCGGCCCAGGGCATCGCGCTTGCGCTGCGTGGAGAAGAGCCGCAGCTCCTTGCGCTCCTCATCCGTCAGTGAGTGACAGTAACGAACCTGCAATGACAGCGAGTAACTGAAAACTGTGGCTTTTCCGCGACCGCTTTCCCCACCCACCGCTCGGGGAAAGACAGGAAAAGACAGGGAAATCATATGTTCAAGTGCGCCCCGACATCGCGAGGAGCCGTGGGCACAGCCTCAAGTGATCTTTCCAAGAAGCGCGGACAGGGAACGGGCGGAGCTTGTTTGTCTCGGCAGCAGACAGGCCCACATCCCGCATCCCACATCCCACATCGCACAAATCCCAGATCCCGGTGAAACGCAGAGCAGACCGCAACGCAAAAGGCAAAAGGCAAAACGGTAGCCAGTAGCCCAGGCTGCCCATCAACGCTTCACCTCCAGCCTCCTGCTGTCCACTCCATCAGCATCTCCATCTCTGTCTCCGTCTCCGCCCATCTCCCCCCGATTCCCCAGAACGGCCTGTGGTCTGCGGTCAGCGTCTCGTTTGTGTGTTGTATGCAAATTTTTTCGGCTGCCTCCACTTATTTTTCGGTCCTCTTTTTTTCCCCATTTCGAGCCGGCCTTCAATGAGTGTTCTAGTCATCGTTAGCCAGGCTCTAGATCTCAAACCTCAGTCCCCAAAACAGTGATGGGAAGTACTGAGGTCAGAAATAAGCACTATCAATACCTATTAATTAAGGAACTAAAGGAACTAAAGGAACTAAAGGAACTAAGGAATTAGGAACTAAAAACATTTAGGCTTACATTTAAACGCTTATGAGTTACATTTTTTGAAGTTTACAAAAGTTTTAAAATACTTTGGACATATAAAAATCAAAATGTATCGACGGACGATATTTTTGACTTCTTCCAAATTCAATTTTTTATCACCTACTGTTCAAAATCACATCCTCATTGTATAAAGCTTTATGTTTCTTGGTACTAATAAATAGCTATATTCCACTTGGAAGTGGTAAAGTAAAAATTTGTTTACTCAATTTAAATAATTTCCCTTTGATTTTTATCCATTGCTGGTTTTATTTATTTTAAATAGGAAAATATTTAAATTTTTTAAAAATTTTTCTTTCACCCGCAAATAGTGCGGAACTGATTTCAATATGTGAAAATATTTAGCTTAAATAAGAGGTATTCAAATAAAATTGAAACTATTTTAAATGTAATTTCTTTTAACAATAACTAAAGTATTTAATATTAAATCGAGCAATTTCATACACGTTGAAATATGAAGATATTTATTATTATTATTTCATTTTTTTAAATCAGTAAATAGAAACGATAGTTTCGATTTGAATTTAGTCCACATAGTCTTTTTGCCTTCCAAAGCCAACGAAATGGGCACCTTTCCCATCACTGTCGTCCAAACCCAAGTCGCTGATATCTGGGAATCCGCTCAGCATTCCCTGTTTTTGTTTGTCCAGTTTTTTGTGGTCAGCGTCTGCTCTAAATACCGAACTCAGACTGAGTCTGCACTTGTTTCCCCGATTAATTAAAGGTTACAAAACGGGAAATGGTCGCTAAGTCGGGAGGGATGGATGGAGGTATGGATACGAAAAAGAAGGTGTGTGTGGGAAAATCGGCCCACAATTTGACTTTGAAATGTCATAGCCCGTAATTCGAGTTGGTTTCAATCTCGATAAAGTGGCTGCAGTTCGGATAAATGCCGCAAAACTGACGGGCCCACGATCCCGAGGGGTTTGGGGTCAGGTTCTGGGATTGGGACTGGGATTGGGATTGGCATTTTGGCAGTGGGATAAGGATCCCTCGGCGTACTCACCTCGTTATCATGCGGCGGAAGTTGATGCAGCAATTGTCGCACTCGATACTGCTCCCCCGGACTGTTGACGTATGGCACTTTGTCGTCGGGTATCTGCGAGAAATACAAGCGAACCTGCGGGAGAAGAGCAGAGGGATTCGATTGGTAAGTACCTTGCGGAATGCCCAAATACAGTTAAGGAGCTGAGCGGAAAGGGTTGGGAGGCCAGGTGGCACAGCGGGCGGAGATTTTTGATTTTATTACGCTGATTTCTTGGCCGCGCTGCGCAAACGGCTTTTCCATCTGAGCCAGGTTGAAAGGTGCACAACGTGCTAAGCCAACTTTATTGGCCACGCTCGCTCGCAAAACGTTCTTTCATCGGCGGGTAATGGTGGAAATGGGGGAAAATGGGGGAAATGGGAATGGAAACGCCAAAGCAAAAGGAAAATGCCAACTGCGCGGCGGCTGACTGACACATGGCTTATGCCGCATCAACGTAAATTGCTGCCACATGGCTGTAAATAAATTTTCAATTCTGTTTGTAAAGTCACACAGCGAAAAGAGGGACAAAACGAAGAAATGCAATGCTAGACATCTGATAGGCCCGTCGGGATGGGATGGGATCGGATGGCCTTAACGGAAGTCAAAGAGTTGAACGCAAAACGGCAGAGGCCCCGAAAAATTCCGATTTTTGGAACTGGGAACTGGGCGCTTCTGCCGGGCAGATTGTGAAAGATTTATTTGGCATTGTCGCATATTTTACGCGAATAATTTACGAGTTCGTTTCGTTTTGTGGCGCCTGGCAAATAATTGAAAAAAAGGCACTGCCCTGCCGCTTTCCAGCCACAATTGAATTGGCCATTAAAGTCACATGCGATTTGAGGAATGGCTGCTGGCCAGTGTCCGGCTTTCATTAGCGCTATCTAATTCGCCGGACAGTCGGACACTCGGACAGTCGGACAGTCGGACACTCGGACAGTCGGACTAGAGACCTTCGCCTAATCGACACGCTCCCATAGAGCCGGTCCCGGTCACCAGACGACTGCAATCGCCTCTGGCCTGCATCATCTGCGACTTGCGAGGCGATTCTGGCCACCAGTCGCTGATTTATGGCCGCGTCGCGTGTATTTATTTACAGCTCGCTCCGAGTGACAAAATAACGCACAATAACTCAAGTATCCGCTTATCGCCGGCCCACAAATCTCGCCTGCCATCCCGGCCATCTGCCCTTGGCACTTGGCGTTCCTCACTGCAATCTTCGAGCCGCCGACGTCCAGGCTTCGACGAAGACAGCGTGAGTGCACCAGTATATGGCAGGAACTCTTGGACGCCAAGAAAGATTCCACAGTATGGCTACATATATGCTACATATGCTTCAAAGTGGGGCAACCAAACTCATTTATGCTAGAACTAAATGAATTGACTGGTTTTTAGCGAACTTTTATTAGGCTGTGTTTAGACATACAATAACTTTGTTCCAAAGCACCTAAACCTAGTTAAAGAAAACTATTGAAATTTAAATAGAAATGAGTCGATTTTAGATAGGATAGACTAATTTTTGCGACTTTTGAAGTAGATTTAATCTAAGTCTTAGTCCAGATAGAAAACAAGGATAATTCTGTACATAAATGAGTTGACAAATATAGATACGAAAAGCAGAGCTAGGCTTTCAATCATGCTAAGTATGTTAAAGATTTTAAAGAAAATGTTGAATGTTGAGCTCGCCTTTTAAGAATCTGAACTAGGTGTTGCCTGTATATTGCAAAAACCTTTCAAAAAGTCTATTAATTTCTTATCAATCAAAACAACCTTTTCTCAAACCAACTTTTTGTAATCACATTTAAAGTCTTTCGTCTTCAAAAAGGTTTGTCAAAGTGGGTAAATATAATTCAAAAGTACAATATAATTGTTTCCGGATTTTGTTTGAGTCCAAGTGTCATCTTTTTAAAGGCAGTAATCTTGATAGATTCACTTTCTGCTAACCTGTTATTATTTTGCTATCCTTTTTCTATAAAATGTACTATATCCAATGGGGTTCTAAATCTAGATTTCTAAAAGTTTGGTTTTTTATAGACTAGTAATCATAGCAGTTTGTTCACAAAGGTCTACGATATTTCAAAAACAGGGGTAGATTACTGATGAAGGACTCACCTGATCGGGCCGCAGTCCGGGTGGCACCCAGGTGTACTCCTCCAGAGCGCAGCCACTGTCGTCGTCCGAGTGCGACTGCCGCTGCAGGTCCATGTGCGGTCCGCCCAGGAAGGGGGCGTGGACCGAGGCGGAGGAGGTGCCGCCGGCGGGGTGGTGGAGCAGCGAGGGCGGCGAAGGGGTGGACAAGGCCGGCGACAGCTGGTGGTGGTGGTGCGGCGGTGGCGGGAGCGGGGCATTCGAGTATTTGGGTGAGTACTGGGAAGGTCCTCCTGCTGCTCCCATTCCCAATCCCGATACCGATCCCGATCCCGGGAGCTGCTGGTGGTGCGGCGGCAAGTACTGCTGGTGGCGCTGCAGGGGCAACGGGGAGGTGGGCAGGAGGCCGGCGGCGGTCTGGGCGGCGTACAGGGCGCTGGCGGAGGAGCTGCTGGGCAGGCCGCTGTGGCCGAGGGCGGGGGGCGTGGCCAGGCCCTGCCCACTGGGCGAGAAGTGGCGCGGCAGCGTGGGGATCTTCTGCAGATACGAGATCTGCGTCAGTGGAGTCCGGCTGATGGGCCTGCAAGTGGGTGGAAGAGAACGGGTGGAAAACGTGACTTGGCGAACAGGCTTGACTAATCAGAGTTTAATTAAAATTTAAAAATTTCATTAAAATATTTCCTGCTTGCCGCACAGTGCCGGGTTAAAGGCTGGCACAGGAAAAGCTACAATAAGGGGAAAAAATCGTGGTAATCCCTGGCCGCAAAGCCGAATCATATTGTTAATGTAATATAAAACCACATTGTATTCCTTTTGTAATTCGTTGGATTTGCGCGGTTTTGCACTTCCTATTTGCCGTCGAACAAGCTGTCAATTTTAGTTTGTTTTTCATGCGTTTTTTATGTTGACGGCCATCAAAGTGGGAATGGAAATGGGAATGGGAGTGGGTGGTAGGAGGTAGGTGGTTGGAGTCTGTTTTTGCAAACGTCAAAATGAAAAATATATGCTTCACAGCATTTACACAAACAAATCGACAGCTCCGCGATGCCTTTGTTGTTATTTTGTTGTTGTTGCTGTTGCTTTTATTGTTATCGTTGTCAAGCCCGCAGGGCTGTCGCTGTTGTCATTTAGCCGTTTTCTGACATTGTTATCCTAGACCGGCTTGAATGCCCTGTAACCCATTTGCTATGGTCTCTGCGATCGCCAAGATTGCTGTACCCTTACAACACTTAACTGCTTTTTTAAGATTTAATTATGTCTAAGTAATCTTGGTTTAAGCCTTAAAAATAAATTGTTATTTATAAAAAAGTAAACGAAGAGAAAGTAAAACTGTTTATGAACCAATAAAAATTATTTCTAAAAATATATTTAACTTCTATTATATTTTATATGTTATATTTAAGTCACAAATACTACTTGAAAATTTAAGGAAGTGAAAATTTAAAATTTTTATACAGACAGATAGAATAACAGCCACAACAGGAGGAAGTGGATAACAATGAATATTCGTTAATTATGGGGAAACACTGTGTATTTTGTAATTAACAATCATAGAATTCTTTATATTTTTAGCAGACTTAGATGCGTGTTTAAAATGGGCTTAAGCATGATTAACCAAAGTCTGTTCAAACGAATGAAAATAAAGCATTAAGAAATTTAAGCTTTTAAAAAAGTTTAAGAACTTGTATATTACAGAAGAGAAAATACAAATCCCGATTTGTTTTTAAAATTAACGATTAATACGCTATCTTCGACAAGTTGCCTAACAATTAATGTCCGATATCAGCGATACATTTCGGAAATTTGCTAAATATACTGCTGGAGGATTGATTTACAATCTGCTATCTTTTAATCGAGTTGCAATTAAAGTTTTTTCTGCTTTTCGTAGCGCACTCTCATCGCTGCTTTGACATCGGGGAAATGAACACGCACCATTTCATGGCAGTTTGCTGTTTGCCGAATCAAAGGATAACTGTGCATTGTGCAGATACACACATGCCCCCATATATACACATATGAGCATAGATATATCTGAGTGGGGGCGTGGGCGGGACGGGGGCGTGGCTGGGGCTGATCTGAACTGGAAATGCGAGTTCATGCGGGCGTTTTATCAAAACAATGCTGTCCGCCCTTTTGTTGTTTTAGCCAGTGAATTCTTTCTTTTCGCCAGCCACATCCCGATTTAACATTTTCCAATTCCATTTCTAGTTCACCAGCAATGGAGACGAAAAAAGTGGAAAAAGAGTGGGACTGGGACTGGGACTGGGACCCACTGACGTGTCAATAGCTGGGCGAGAGCCATGTGCCAAGCGGTTTCTGCGGTTTGCCGGCAAATTAATTGCACAGATTGCGACTTTCAATGGGAAATAGAGCCCGAAAAAACGGTTTGACATTTGAATTTTTGAGCAACAAATGCAAGAATGCGTGCTGGTATTGCATTTGGGAACTGTAATGGAGTTTTACTCCGTTGTTCATTGGCGGGGAGTGGGTCTAATGCGAACCCGAATCCGATTCGGAGTCCGAATCCGAGTGCAAATTCAAATCCTAGTCCCCGGGCATGCACGTGCAACGTGTCGCAGCTGGAGCCGCGATTGCAAAGTGTTGCCCGCCGTCAAATCAGCCGCTTTCAAACTCAAATTACCAGTTCCCGAACCGAAAGCTAGGCGCATTTGGGCCCAACTCCATAAATTCGCCTGGGAGCCTGCGGGGCTGCCTGGCGAATTTATTGCGCGACCTGCATTTCCACTTGGCCCTCTTTTTTCGCTGCACCGGCACAAATTTATTGTTGACTGCAGCGAATTACGTGAAATTGGCCAAGCAATTGTGGCAAGTTTCAATTTGGCACAGGTCTATGAAGTCATTAAGGCGGGAGAACAAAATGGAAATGGAAAGTGCCCGTGTGGCGCAACATTGTTGGCATTGCTGCTTGCCCGCAGCAGCAACAGGAGCAACAGCAACAGGAGCAGCAGCAACATATTGCCAGCAGCAACAGGAGCAGCAGCAACAACTGCAGAAATAAGCCCGCCAGTTCTGGCCAGGCCGGCAGCTGTTGACGCTATTTGCATTGATCGACGGCGGAGGGCTCCGACTCAATTACTTTGGCAGTCGTTGACCCAGAGAACTGGTTTGGCCTGTCTAGGGCCCTCAGCAAAACTAGTTCACAGCCCGGGTTGGCCCATTGAGGGACCTGGGCACCGAGGCGCAGCTGCTACTCCTCCCCATCCTCCCCATCCTCCGGAGATTTGCGGCAAGTGCCTATATTTAGCCCCGTCTGCGCTTATCTGGCATCCAAATGAATGATCATTATGCGGCGGTCGCGTTGACAAATTGCCAGCGAGCTTGAGCGATGAGCGACGGCTCAATGCTCGGCTAAAGACAGTTTAGCGGATGGCTGGAAGGGAACCGGCGAGCACAACGTTGGCCAAAAGGTTAGCCCCAAATCACTTTGGCACTTTGTGTGCGGTTTTCTCAAGTCATTTGTGTGATTTGGGTTAATGTCGGAAGAGCAGCCGAAAAGTAATCGTGTAGGTATATATACCTGCTAATACCTATGTATCCGCAGCGAAAGTTACACCAGGGAGCCCGCTGCGAAAAGTTCTGTTTCATTTTATGTATACACGGAGAAAAATATCCCAAAATATAAACGAAATCTTGGAGGTTTCCTACTTCTGCTGGTAAGGTAAATTAGGCGTTTTCCTTTCAAGATGTAAAGCAAACTAGATCGATAGTGAGAATATCGATGTTTTCAAAACGTTCCTAAACATTTACTTGTGCTCCCAAAAAATGTGAAACATTGACGTTGGGAAAGAAACAATAATCGCTTAGTTTTCAAAAAATCGATTATTTCGATAGTCCGATCAACGATTATTATATAATAATTGATTAAGCTATGTTATGTTACATCTCATAGCAATCGGCATTTATATATTTCAGAAAGATACTACAAATTCAGAACTTTATCACATTCAATTATTTTAAGAATTTATCCTTTTTAAGTATGATCCTGAAATACTTCAATGTCATTGCGGTTTTCGGCCTGTGTAAGCATCGCTTATATGGCCACTTGTGAGTTCAGGGACAGGTGTCGCACCATTAAGACTTGTTTGCTTTTAGTTTTACGACGTCTCTCAGCTGGACAGCAATTATGTGGCAGGATTGCTCCTCTACTTCCCCGCTCTGCCGCCTTGCCGCATATCCTTTTATTGTTTTACTATCCCTGACAGAGCAGCAAACATTTATTAAAAAGCTTCGCCAGCTCAGTGTGTTCGGTGCGATTGTCATAAACGATTTTTGAATTGTCCATAAAAGCAGCGGGCCGAGAGAAAGGGGCTGTGGAAAAGCTCGTAAAGTTTATATGGGGGAGAATGCCAGTGCTGCCCAGAACCACTTGGCATTTTTGCAGTGGACCAGCCGCAGCAGAACCATCACGTTTTGTTCTGTCTGCCTTGTCAACATGACATTTGCCGTGTTGACATTTTTATTGACTTTGGCAGGCAGCAGGCCAACAACGGTATTTGTTCTCGCCCAGCCAGAAAGTTGATTAAGAATGCCAGTCTGGCTGCCGCTTCCCACCTGCGTGTGGTCCACTCCCATCCACTCCCCACTGCTCCTTTGCCAGGTGCGTTTATTACGCATACGCCAAGTGGCACTAATTGCTTGTTCTGAAGGCGACTGCGACTGCGACTGTACCCCGCCACTGCCTGCTAATTTGCTGTTTCAATTTGAGCGTTTAGAAAGTTGCACAATGGCGCGAACTGCGTTTTGCTTATCTCTGGGCCACAACTAAACCAATTAAAGTTCGGCCACTGAGAGATCGCCACTCAGTGCAGGCGGCAAATATGCTGCTGCTACATTTCAGCCGATCGTCTTTGTCTCCCTCCTCTGCTAGCGGCCAGCAAAATAGTTTCCCGAGCGTGCAAATTTTCACAGCTGCAAACAGCAACAGCAACAGCCACAGCCACAGCAACTATGCCAGCAATTTGTGTGCTAAGCGGCAAACATTGAGGCAGCCCCGTGGCCATCCCATCAGCGTCTTCTTCCCTGGGAGCCAAAGACACCGCGAACCCACTTCGCTGGAAAATCGCTACACTAGCAACTCCAGCAACACTAGCAACACCACGATCAGGTTTGTGTAAGAACAACGCTTTCGTACTGGTCGTAAGAGAAATTGCATCATCAATGCAAATTCGGTGAGCTAAAGGCGGTGATAGGAGAAGTTCCAATTTGTTTGCCGGGTAATTGATTCAAGGCATTATTTTTTATTCGAGCAACCGCCAATTAATTGCGAACTTTGTTGAAAATACATCAAAAATACATAGGCTGCTGGAAGAAGCGTGTGTTGTTCTGGGTCGCCCACCAGGTAGTGCCTCCTCTTAGTTCCCGTTCCCTTCTCCCCATGCCATCGCATCCCATCCCATCCCATCCCATCCCATCCGATCCGATCCATAACCATATATCCGTGGCTGTGTGTGTTCCAAGTCGGGGCCTACGGCATTCATCCGGAGACGTTGCTGGCTGCTGCTTCTGCGGTCGTTGTCTTTGGTCTATGAACTTGTTTTCTCCACTTCTGTCTGCCCCGTA